TGGGGCTATGAGCGTATGGCGGTAAATGTGTCTTCAATATTGCCCGATTGGGATAGAGTGGTTGGCAACTGCCAATAATACCATTGGGTCCACTTGGTACGTACAACTCCTTTGCATTTACTGACGTCGTTTGGTGTTGGTTGGTGCCCTGTATATGTTGCCGTGGTGGGCAGCAGGGCACAAGCGCCTCTCCGTGACTCCAGATTTTGCGCCAATGAAAACCTACATGTACTGCCGAGAGTCGGTGAACAGTCTGAGAGGATTATTGCCTCACTCTGTAAAAAGGCCGAAATCTGCCAGCAGTCCGAACCAGGCCAGATGCTGGTGAGGGTTGCGTCATCGTAGGGATCCTCGCGCGGCCATTTTGCAGCTAGAGGGGGTCATGAGCGAGGAAGGCTCGACTCCATATGGCGGCTGTAAATGTATGAGAGGCAGACTCGTTTACATAAAACACAGCGTTTACAGGATATGAGTCGCATTCCGTGGGCATGGCCGAACCGGTAGCTATACCACGACACACGGGGATGTAAAACGGGGGCGGCCCGCGCGAGTTCCAGACTCATATACTAAGTAGCGCAGGAACAGAATCGTGGACGGGGGTCGATTTGTCCTATCCTCCATAAAAGCAGCCTAATATGTGGAAAACGCCGTCCACGCGTATTGCCGTGGTCATCTTTCCAATGGGGCTAAACGATCGACCCCTGGTATCAACAGTGTGCTTGACCAGATCGCACAATCACCCGAGGGAGCATTCCAAACTTCCCCTTCCTTTTAGCGAATCACATGTCAAATATGGAAATACCCATACCTAGGGACAATATGCTGCATTTGTGGCTCTCCAGTAAGCCCATCTTCACTCGGACTGCCCTCATAGTTGGCAGCAAATCTTGTCCATGACCTACGCACAGATCTGGCATATGGAAGCTTCTCACAGAAAGTACGTCGTGCACCATAGATATGGTGGATGGCTCTTCACGCCGGTTTAACCCCATATGTATAGGCAATGCTTCTCTTCTTTTCGTCCACGTTTTTGCCCGCTCGGCCATTGGCCATCATCGGCGTAACTCTACTCCATATAATCGGCGAGCCATCATATCCATACCGCAATTCGCTTATAGCGTGGTCAAATTGATAGGAATTGGGTTTCCCCCGTCCCGATACAGAAAGACCTTGACTCGTGCCGTGCGCTCGTTCAGTATTCCTACACCAACTCGAGTGGGTCTACCAATGGCCTACAATGGAAGTCGTAGAGATTGTGTCATGTACGAGTTGCGCAGGATGGCTTAGATGCTTCAATCAGGCGATGTCTAAAGGCCGCGTAGAGATCCGCAGGGGCACATATATCCCGGCGAGACTTCAAAGCGCTCCATGGTTTTTGCTACCAACTCCAAGATATCCCGCCAAGGGTTTAGTCAAACGGCTCACGTGAGTCACTTGGAACCAACTCCGAAATGAACAGAAGTACAGCCAAGATATTGTCAGGCTCTCACTGTCTTCTCTACTTCTCGATGATTCACATCGCCTACGTCCATAACCAGGGAGCATCTCCAACAGGTAGCCTGCTTTTGACGCACCATCTACTATCGAGTTCCCCGGCCGAGCTCTTGTTGTCTCATCTCCCACTCGAACTTCATTACTCAGGACTTGGGCCATGAAACCCCCGCCTTTCTTACCTGCCAGGGCGCCTAAATATCCTGACTGTCCTGCCCTCCCCATCAACTCGTCCGAGACCGATTCGGAACTCTCTTAATTCTCTCGCCTCGATCGGCAAAACACCAGTTGCCTCACCCACACCGCCCAAATCGCCAGCCGCAGGCGCTCCAGGGCCTTCTTGAATCAGTGGCAGGTCCATATTGGCGCCGTTTGCGGCCGCCAAGTCGTTCTCGCCAAGATTCACAGGGTACAGCTCCTCCATCTCCTCCCCGTTATTTCCATGGCCTTGGGCATTGTGAACAGCAGCGCCTGGCTGTGGTAAGCGGGCTCTATATGCGTGCCCGCCCGCCGCGAGCAGCGCCCACTCCAAGACATCCTGTGGAACCGTCTCGATTTCCCGCACGTCGTCCGCGGGCAAGTTGCCCTTCAGAATTCTATACCAAATGGACAAGGTGAGAAACGCGAGCAAGGAAAGGAGGGAAAGCGCCAGTACAAGCAGAAATAATGCAATCATGGTTGGCGGCACGTACGCCGCGGGCTTGACGCACCCCTGCGTCGGGTCTTGTCGGGCCCCCGGCGTTGCAAGCAGGTAGTTGCGTCCTCCGGAGATCATGACCATGGTGTTGAGCAGCATGGCCAGCTGATCGGCCACGTTGTTAACAGCAGGCGTGTTGGTGCCCCAATACATCAAGCCCTGAAACGTGGGCGCCCAGACCCTGAGGTCATAAAGGGAGGCCATGCTTCGGGCCGTGTTTGTCGCCCCGGGCGCATTCATGGTGCAGTTGAGGGCCTCTAGCTGTACCGGCTCGTCTGGTTCCCAGTTCTTCTGGACGGCAGCGAGCACACCCCAGTCTGATCCGTCAGAGTTGGCGGCGGCAGAGGTGCTCCATACAACGAGGTGGTTCGTGTTGGATCCTGCGCCGGTGTTGCCGCTGTACTCATCAAACCAGTTCGCGTGAAGCATCTTCTTGGATACCAGGTCGTTGATAATGGTCATGTTTGAAGTCCCCGCCGGAAGAGTAAGCGACGCCGTCGTCTCGCACTTCCATGAACCGATAATGTCCATGTCATCGGGGCAGAACGATGGGTCGAGGTTGACTTTTTTGTATATTCCGTAGGGGCAGGTATTGTTGACGGCAAAGATCTGCGCATTCTGCAACACGGCTACCGGTCTCCCGTTGACTTGCGAATAGACATTGTGCACGGAGTCGTTGAAAACGAGGCCCTGGCCGAACCAGCACCGGTCCTTTACGGGCTTGCTGACAACGAGGTAGGCAGTCAGCACGTCGGCCGCCTTTCCCAAGAGAAACAGGAGCAGCAGTATGGAGAAGCCCACGGTGCCGCCTGCGAGCCTGCGAAGCCGGAACGAGGTGAGCACAAGGTCGAGGCCGTCTAGCGAGCCGATGGCGCTCGTGGCAGAAACCGTGCGGCGGCGGGCGACGATGATTTTGGCCAATATATGCAGGGCTATCTTGGAGATCCACGCGGTTCCAGCTATAAAGATGATGAAGTATACTCGCAAGAGGACGCGGACCGTCGCAGTAGACACAACGGTGATGATCATGATGAATGCGTTGGAGAGTATACGGCGCTAATCGAGGGCAAGAAATGGCCTGACCAGAGCGTAGCTCTCCATATTCCGTGGCTGTATAAATACGTCTTCAAGCCTTGCCAGGCTCTTCGCATTGTAGAGCACGCGTACACGAACTGATAGTTCGCATGGCGAGACAGCACACATTCAGGCACTCAATCTTTGGCGTTGTGGCTTCTCGTAGCTGTACGCCTCGGGCCGCCGCCCCTTTCAGCTCCTATCCAGCCTCAGAATACGACCTGTCTTGGGTGGTCTTGCAAGCCAATCACCCGTCGCGGGCCGCATCAGCTTGCGCGTGAAAGCACTCGTTCCTGTGCGGTGGGCGGTAAGACGGGACGGTGCGCAGCGGCAAATACGTGCCGAACTCCTTTTTTGCGAGGCCATCACCAGGCAGCGGGGCAAGAAGTGACGTCGTGACGCTCTGTCATATTCTCTTGCGGGCGAGGCTGATAGTTCCCGTGGCAATTGTGTTGCGTCACCCAGCCGCCATTCCCAGCATCTGTTTTCCTTTGGTACGACGCGACCGGGAGTGGCCCACGGGCGACGTGTGGCGATCGACCCTAACCCTAACCACGTGGCTCCCTAATCCCGACTTTGTTTCGTTTTCTCTCTTCAAGACTTGAATCAAGACCTTGACGTGTAGGAACCCCAGGTCGGCAGAGCATGGTGCGAGTCCTCAGTCGACATTGGGTGTAAAATCTCCGTCTGGCCCGGTCTGAGCATGTCTTGTCTCTCACGGTACAGACTCCAGAGTACCGGACTCATTGTGCAACAGTCGTTTGCCCATACTCCGTACATCCCGGATTTGATCTTTGTACACATCGCAAGGCATCAATTGCCGTGTATTTTTTTTTTTTTTCGCTCCGTTGCCGATCTGATTCAAAGCCTTGCTCGGGTGGCTCGGATGTTTCCGAAACTAAGTCGCCCTGTCCACGTGCCCATTCCAAAGCTCAAGCCATCTTGACATGTTGACACTTGACAGGGCACGTGTGGGCCCAGATTCGACGACAATCCATGATGCATGGATTCATCGCCCAACTTCCAGTGTCGCCCCATGACCCCAGTGTGGACAGTGTGGGTTAATAGAATCCATGTGTCATGATTCTTTCTTCTTCGTTCACTGCTTTTGACGACTTCGAGCCGAAACCGCATTAAGCTTAAGCTGCGGGCATGCGAACGGAGCCATTCCCACCCACCAGCATCCCCCGACTCGGGCGAATACCACCAAGGTCACGGCCGCGCTCGTCTTTTTCGCCTGCGCTTATTCGTACATCTCGTCGGGGCGAGAAATCCCTCTGCTATCCCTACAAAGAAGGCCCCCGTACCAGCCACCGTGACAGCACGTACGTGGCGGTAGTCCATCTATTGCGGTTAATATCAGCGCTCAATTCGCACAGGGAAACGCGCTCGGGAAAATAGAAGGTAAATTGTATATAATGTCGTACGACATGGTATATTAGGTGGCCAATTGGGCCGCAACTGACGCTGTCTAGCTAGTCGACATAAGACTGCATGTTATGAACCGAATCCCCAAGACAGTTTGGCATTAAACAAAAAGACACAGCCCATGTATTACCAAAAGACGTGTTTCAAAAAAAAAAATCTTTTCCCGTTATGTTACATTAAACCTTTTACTCGACACCGATTGCGTCTTGAATCGGGACAGCATGAACGTCCATCCAAACAGTCATCTAGCATGCGAGCAAAATATGTTCCTGCGTCATCAAAGTGCAGCTTCCTAAATTGACTAGGCAATTTACAGAAGAGCGGCGGCAACAGCCATGACGAGGGCACCAGCGGGAGCCAGGAAAGAGGCACCGGCGGTGACGGGAGGGGGGTTGCCGCCAGTGGTACCGTTGCCCGAGGGGGCAGCAGAGGTGGGAGCCAGAGTGGTGGCAGGGGCAGAGGCAGAGCTGTGTCCACCAGTTGCGGCAGCAGTGGTGGGCGCGGCGGCAGAGGTCGCCGAAGCGCCGCCAGTCTTGGAGCTGGAGCCGCCAGAGCCGCCAGAGTTCTTGCAGTTGGACTCGGAGAAGTCGTCCTGAGCCTGGTTGAGGACCTTGGTCAGTCCGGCGGCGAGACTTTGGGCAATGGTCTGGGCATCCTTGGGGACCTTGCTGACAACCGCATCGATGAGAGCCTTGGAGTTGGTGTTGATATCGCTGAGCTCAGTGCGAACGGTGTCGCAAGCGCCAGCCTTCTCAACATCAGAGCGCTTGGCCTTGAAATTGTCGGCCAGGGACTGGCCCTTCTTGGTCAAGCTCTGGACGGGGTCGGTCAAGCCCAGAGCATCGGTGAGAGTGAGGTCCGAGGAACCATCGACCTTGGTCTTGCCGGACTTGATGGCAGAGACGAGGGCGTCAGCCTTGGACTTGACAGCATCAACATCTCCGTTGAAACCGGTGGCAGCGGAGTCAAGACCTTCAATGCCACTTCCGACAGACGTGAGGACACCCTGGATAACGGTGATCTGGGCGTAGGTGCCGGTGGCGGCAGCCAAGACAACAGCGTTGGAGAACTTCATTTTGTCGGTTTAAGATGGAGTAGACTTCTTGTTGTAAGAACGAGTGTAAGTCGACCGGGACAGAAACGATTGTGGTTTTGTTACGGCTGAAAACAGAAGGGCAGGTTGAAGGGAAGAGGATCAGGTTATCTGTGGGAGGAAGGGGAGTGTGAGTTTATACCTTTTTCCTCCGTCCCCTGAGGCGTGCTGCGCCTCTTTGGGAAAACTTCACAAGCTCCAAGACGAATGCTCAATCCCATGTCCCAAGTGCGACCCTGCCGAGGCTCCCGCTCGAGAACAGTGAAAATAACAAGGACTTGTCTGGGGCAACCCTGGGAGGGGGGTGTTCGAACCCATGTAGATCTAGTGTAGTCTACAGCAACCTGACCCAAGGATGGCTCTTGAGAGAAGGTTTACGGGGAGTCAAATCAAGTATCGCAACTACTGTATGTACATACATGTTACTGTACACCCCATCCACCCCGTCCCACGATACAAAGCACGGAATACTAGTACTAGCGTATAAAACCCACCCCCAGGTAATAGCGCACTTCTTGTTCCGCTGGTGGAGTAAAGATGGTGTGTGTGGATACTATACGGCCTCTTCTACCACCATCACGACTCCTTCAACAATACCTACCATGTTCATGCCCAGTGCTCAAGTTGGCAAAAGGAGGGAGGGGAATAACGGCACCGGGTTGGCCAGGTCCTCCATATTATGGCGCAACAGCTTGTGTCCAATGAGGGACCACACGCCGAGGGTTGTGGGAGAAAAAGATGTCTTCGAAAGTTCGAATCGACGTCCACCATGCACCCGGGATGCTGGCGATATTGCTGTGGGCAATCTTGCTTGGACCCGGATGGCGGCAAAGACCGTCACTGGAACTGTGTTGGTGGCACCATCAGTTGCACGAGGGTGGATCCTGTTCTCGAGTGGCTTGCATGTAGTATTCATTACTGGTGCAGGTAAAGAGGCATAGCAGGCATACTAATTGGGATTCGCCAGTCTACTGCCAGGCTTTGATCTCCCAAGTCAGCCGCCCTGGTACCTAGCTCAAGGTTGCCACGGCTCGGGAACTGCTTCTTCGTCTGGGGCAACAGGCCGATGCTGCTGCGAAATGCTGCAAGGCGTGCTCGAGGAACCCGTACCCCTGGCTATCCGGCAAACCCTGGCTATTTTCAGTGACGGCTTGATGTGGACGGTTAGGATGGTGCATTCCCAACTTGGATTTCCATGTCGTCTACTAATTTAAAACCTTGGGCTTTGTCCTTTGTGGCGGTGTATGTAACAAGTTTTTGATTTGGCCTTGACTACGGAGTAGCGATGAGAGATATCCATTGTTGAATGTACGGAGTATGTAACTAAATAGGAGAGACATGCCACATGGGCTTGCAGACTGCCACAAGCGAAGAAGATCTCAGTTGCACATGAGCCACTAGCATAGCACGGAGTAGAACCACACTTTGTGTACAATGTGTTTGGAGTACACCGCCAATGGCACCCACGTAAACAAAAGAGTGGCAATTTTGTGTCTTTACGGAGTAGATGGCAATACAGCCACTACACACGCGGTGCAGACATCGTGAACGTAATGGTGCATATCCAACCACCTCCGGAGAGCTACTTGGTGCCAATGAATTGGCCACTGGTGTAGCTATTGCTCGAGTGGTTGTGCCATTTCCAGACGGGTGGCTGGTAGGTGCTGCGTTGTGCTGTGCTGTGCATGTGGATGGTGGACACAAGGCTGTCATATCCCACTGTCGATCGATTGCCCCAGGTTCAAGTCGCGCTGTCAGCATTTGGGGAGGGGATGTCCATTTTTGGCATATGGTCCGGGGCCAAGATCCACCAAGGATAGGAGGCCAGCAGCCCTCGCTTGGTCAGGGAAAACAATATCCTGTCCAAGTGCGTCGAGACCGCCACCCCAGCCATGATCCCTGTTTCCTGTCAACCCCCGCATTCTCCGATGACTTGACGATTGCGACAACTCTGATTTGGTCGTTGCGTCTTGTGAACCTTGTAGGCGGTCCACTAGCATCGAAACCTAACCCTGCCCAGACGGGGCACAGACGGGGGCAAAGTCGGAGAAGAAGCAGAAGGAAGAGAATGGTAGCATCGGGCGAGGTCTGAGAAAAAGGGGTTGGGACAATGCTAGCCACTGGCACAATGCCATGAATGAACTTTGTTGCGGGTGTGGTGACGGAGACGGCTGAAGATGAGCAGGCACAGCTTCCGAGAATCGACAAGTTTTGTACGCCAGGTTTTGTTTTGCGGGGGATGGCGTCGAGTCGATGAGTGGTTGGAGAAGAAATGGGTGGGAGACATGGAGACTGGAAGCTCGGTTCAAGTGGCACGGCCAAGTGGGGCGGTCATGAGAGACGCCCAGAAGCCTTGCTCCTCGACTCGATTCAACGGCTGGCGCATCACAGATGCTGTGAGCTTTTCCTTTGCTCCAGCTCCATGCCACGGCCCTTGTTGTTTCCACTCATGATTCCTCCAGCGGCCCAGGGTGCTTTTCTGCCCCTTCTCTTGCCCCAGGATCGGCCAATCGCCGGCTCAAGTGCAATTAGGAAGGATCACCATCAAATTACGGTTATGCAACCAAAGGGTATCATGGTGTTGAATGTTCTGGCGAACGCTGGTCTAGTTACTCTAGTCCATTAGGAACGTGTTGGGCGCGTGGGTAGTGGAAGTAGGAGAAGGAGAACAAAACGCCGAGTTAGTGTCTGTTCGAGAGTGGATGATGGCCAGGATGGAGACGGTTCATCTCTTGGGGCGCACGCACGGAATACGGTATAGATTATCGATGATGCAAGCTCAAGCGATGGCGTGGCCAAGGGCGACCAGAGGCCAACATGTCATTGATGATGGTGGTGATGCAGTGCGCTCTAAGAAGCCGTGTTGGTTCTAAAGTTCCAAGGCTGGCCAAGTGTTGGTTCGGACATGGAGTGCAAGAAAAGAGAGCCGAGTCCCACAAGGTCACGGAGCAGAGATAGTCGGTACCTTGTGACTAGTACTACTACGGAGTAGTACCACGTAGTACCCCTCCAAACGTGACGACAGGCAGCTGCAAGCAAGCAAGGAAGGAACGGCTGGGCCGCATCGTCGTCTCTTGTCGTCAAAATGCGCCACGCAGCAGAGCCGAAAAGGAGATCTGAAAGCGAGATGAAGGGGCGCTCAAGTTTGCCACGACGCAGAAAGCTTGTCATGCCGCCGCCATCGCTTCTGCCCGCTCCCCGGACGCAGGAAGGCTGCAGTCCCGTACCTGACTGAACAACTGGGCCTTGAAGCAATTGACGACATTGATTGGCATCAGCTTTTCTTCTTGGAGCCTGGCCCCAGCAAGCCGGACGCCGTCAAGATCCAATACGGCCCATTTCACCGCAATTCCAGGGACGCACGGTACGCCACACCATGTCTGTTGAATCATCTCGGACCAGATGCAGATTGCCCATGGGCTTCAGCATCATTTCTGGCACCAACATTGACGCGTTAAACTTTGCACCTCAGCTGGCTCAAATGCGCAACCCAGGCCTGCCGGGCCGTCTCACATGCACTTGCACATGTTCCAATTTCGCACTTCCGGAACCCGAGACCCCGAGCAGACTGCCTGCCTGTCCACTTGAGACGCTTGGCCAACCTCCGGCCAGTTCGAACGCTGGCCAACAAATCATCCATCACGCACATACGGATGGTAATGGCATCAGCCGGGCCCCAGTTCTCATGGACGGCGTGTTGGACCTTTCGACACCATGGCCAGCTTGCTAGCCCGCCGCATTCGGTGGGTGGCATGTTTGTGAGATTTGCTCTCCGCCTGATTGGGGTGGTTGCATCGAAATAGGGTGATTCGGCCAGCCCCGAGTGGATGAGGCCCCATTTTGCCCTTGAGAAAGCTTTTTCGGCGTGGTTCTGTCGACTCTGGTTCTATTGTCGCCGGTAATTCACTACCAACACCAGCAATAAATAACCTTGTTGGGAACGCATGTCAACGAAGGGGCCGATTGTCGACGTGCCTTGAGGTGACGAGTCGCAGCCAAGGGACAGAATGCACAAGCCCAAAGCGTCCCGAGATTCCAGCAGAGTAAAACGACAGAACACATCAGATTGTTTCCCAGTTTCGTGTCAGTGGTGGCCCGACACCCGACGTTGTCGACGCCGACTCCGCTGTCACCTCCTAGTCCAGGTCGAATCCGCATTTTCCATCTCCCTGCCCAGACATGCATACACATAAGCTGTGGGACGTGCGCAAGGCCTGAGCTGAAGGTCGCCAGTCCCCTAACTTGGCAAGATTCTGGGGTATTGGGTCTCGCTACTCATTCGCCTCGAGCGTTTCCGCGCGACTAGACAGGTACTGGGGTAACGTTGTGCTGTCCGAGCACCCTCAAGATTCTGCTCTGCCATAAAATGCAAACCCTGCCTACCCTAGAGAATCCTACTGTACGGAGTACATGAGTGATATACTATGGATGCGAATCAATCTTCAAAACAGCATGAGTGTCTTGAACAACTCGGCAACATTCATTCAACCCTCTGCCATGACAGCCATGGCCTAGACTTGACCTGCGGACTACACGGGCCTCAACAGTCCATCCCGGAAGAATGGATGGCCCTGCTGGCCAAAATAATTCATTCATCTCAAAATCTCACCATCACTAGTGAGCAGACCGCTCGTAATTAAAGTGTCTGATAGCCGCTGCTCCTCCGTACGGAGTACAAGACGAGCAAATGCGACATAATGTCCGCAAGTCATGTCTGCCCCCTCGAACAACTGCGGTTTCAAAGCACAGGTACCGGACCAGTGTGCGGTCGTCGATACTTGGCTACGCCACCACCACAGTAGGATTCTTCAGTCAAGTATTTACACACCCTGCATCTTTGCCGTGCCACGACATCTCCCAGGCCTCAGAGCTGTGGCAAACCCGAATCAGAACAAGCGGCGTGTCTAGGATTGTGTGGCAAGCCACCAGCCAACACTTTCCAGCATCGCTCGGCTCTGGCTTACATGTGAATGTGACTCCCA